AGAGAGAGAGAGAGAGAGAGAGAGAGAGAGAGAGAGAGAGAGAGAGAAAGAGACAGAGAGAACGGGGGGAGGAGATTAGTGATGATACAACTTCCCAAAACCTTTCCTATGACATCAAATGCTAAAATGCACCATTTGATCCAAACACACAGAGTAAGAACTATAGGAAGGATAGTAGTTCTTAGGTCTGTTCCTAGCCCTCCTTCTTTGCCTTTTCTTTTGATCCATGGCATCTGTGATACCTCTGAGAATAATGATGGTGACAACCTTTCCATCTCAACTTTTGCTAGTTTCTCTCTTCCTTTATTTAGCATGTTCTTTCTTTGCAAATTTAATGTACTTGACTATCTTCGCTCTTCTGTCCACACTCCCCTGGCCATCTTCCTACCATTACTTTCCGTTTTGAGAACTTAGTACATTTATACCTAAGCCAACATCAAAACACTCAATTCTCCAAGTGCCTGAGGGCCCAGCCCACCCTTGGTAGTAAGTGAAAGGCAGGCACTAGCAGTTCCTGCTGCCATTCTGGTGACCAGTCAACAACAGCTCTTGTTCACAGAGATGAGGTGCAGGTGAGGGGAGAGTTGAGCACTCTCTCCATAGTTTTTGAATCTGTGAAGCCCATAAGAAGCTAGGACCCTAAAAACTAAGAAAGCTCTTTAGAGCAAGTAGGTGAAACTTGGATTTTAGATCTGGAACATCTAACTGTTCTTGTTTTTCTCAATTTTGTTAGTTCAGGAAAAGCACCAAATGCTTCAGAATGAATGAAAGAAAAAAATAAACATTCTTTCATGTCTTCACTGTGACTCCAGGGTACAGATTAAAAATAGAACACAGATGTCATCACTTGGAGATCAGGGTGCCCTTCAGTAGAGAATGCTAAGCATAAATCTGGAGAGGGAAGCTGAAATACTTGATAGAAATTGCATTTTGATACAGCTCTTTGAGCATGTGGGTGTCTAGGCAAGAAATGGCATTAACAATGTAGACACTCCTAGGCCTTGGCTTTGGCACATATTTATTTCACAGGCAGCTGGTATTTTCAAGAATTTTTTATAAATAAGAGATTCTTTTTGCAAATGTGTTGTTACTTTTGTTTCTTCAATTATTTGTATACAGTCTGACAAAATACAAATTTCTAGGGGGAAAACAAGTAAATATTTATTTCATGATTACTAAGAATCACTATTAAGAAAAAAAGAAAACTCACTTTTTCCCTAGCAATTCCAAAATTTTAATCCTGTCAAACCAGGGCTCTTTAAAATACAGTGGTACAAGGCTGGGGATTTAGCTCAGTGGTTCCGCCACCTGCCCCACAAGTGCAAGGACCTGAGTTCGATTCCCAGTACCAAAAAAAAAAATACAGTGGTACATTACAAGCCTAACAAAATGCCTAGAAGATAGAGTGAAACAACGAAAGTTTATATACCAATAATTGCAAGGGAAAGTTGTTTAAAAGATTAATTTTGTCATTAACAAGTCCAATATACTTTTATTCAATACTTCACCCATGTAGTTATTTGGTAAAAGATTTGGATCTAAATGGCTACAGCTATGTAGAAAGCACGAATTAATGTCAAAAGTTTTTCAGGGCCAGGGATTTAGCTCAGTGGTTCCGGTGTCAGCCTCGCAAGTGCAAAGTCCCAAGTTCAATCCCCAGTACCAAAAAAACAAAAAACCAAAAATCAATGGCTTTAGCTGGGGATTTGGCTCCGTGGTGCTGCTGCTTGCCTCTCAAGCACAAGGTCCCGAGTTTGATCCTCGGTACCAGAAAAAAAAAAAAAAGTTTTTTTTAAACCCATCAATCTTTCATAATATCACATATATATATATATATATATACACACACACACACACACACACTCAGTACATGTATGTGCATGTGTGTATGTGTATATACATATATATATATTTATATATATAATTTCAGTTTCTGGCTTAATATTGCATATATGATTTTCAAAGGAATAAAACCTAACAAGAGGACAATGGTAGTCACATGCTGCCTTCTTCCTTTACAATCTGCCATGAGGATATCCATTATATAGCTCCTTGAAGAGCACAAGGACATTCATTGAACCTAAAATGCATCAATTTGAGATGGATGCTTGTAACCAAAGAGCTCACTGTTTTGATTCACTATGACTCATCAGTGCTAGAATCATGAGTAAGTGACAGGCTTCGCTCCCAGAATATACAGTTCACATCAAAAAAGAACAAGTAGATTTTTTAGGGTTACCCTATCTGACCACTTGGCACTCAAGTATGGCATGGTTAATAGATTTCCCCCAATTCCACCCAAAAAAACAATTATATTGGGTTTCAGCATCATTGGACTCACAGGAACTCTTATTGTTGGGTCAATACACAGCATAGATTCCAAAATTAACCAGAAAATGACAGTGAAATATATAAATAAAAGTGTTTGGGCAACAAAACATTTACAGTCTAATTAGTGAGGTCCTAGCCAGATGGCCTCAGATAACAGGGACCTAAAAACAATGCAATTCTCCCCTTTCTTTACAATTCTTTGTTGTTTCCTTCTGACAGCGACATGAGTGGAATTTTAGAGATTTGTCAAACTATTTGAGAAAATAGAGTTTAAAAATACTTTTGAAAAACAAATATTTCATGTCTCTTCATGCTAAAGCATAGCTTTTACCTACTGTTGGGATGCTAAACAATTGGGTCATAGGAGTTTCCATGGACACATGGCTAAAGGAAATGGGACATTACTCAGAACATATGTTTTTATGATGACTCATCTTAAGTAAGACTCAGAGCACTCCAGATGTTTGGTCCCTTGACACTCATGGAAAATAACCCACAAGGTTGCTGGATTTTCCTGTGAAGGGCAATTCCTTCACTAAAGAAATATGTCTACTTTACATCAATACATAGATGAATATAGAATTTTTAAGTCTTATCCTTGGAGATGAGAACAAGCTCAAAACTCAAATGGTGAAATTATTTTTATGGACTACCTCAGGTCAGCAGATATTGATTTTAGGTGAGGTGTAGTGAAAGTCATTTATTACTAAAAACAGTTAAGGACTAAAGTTATAGAGGTTTAATTTTTAAAGCTGTTATAAAGGATCAAGGTTATTGGTATGGTAGTACTATGTTGAGTGTGAACCAAAAGGACGGGGTAACAGCTGGCGTTCTCAGAGATTTTCACTATCTTTCACTATCTTTGTAATCTGAGCACATCATTAAGGGTGTGTAGAGCTTGTTAAAATATGATAGGCTAAGTTGGACAAATAATAATGAGAATGAAAACATGTGTTTTAAAGACTGTGAAGTTTCATCAAAATTAAAGCCCAGAAAAGCAATGAAGGATGACTAAAAGTGAATATGAATAATAATCTACCCCAAGATATCTACAAATCTGATAGCTGAATATATGACCAAAAGGGAGACTAGACAAAGGGGTGCCATAGAGGAGGGCCCCTTGCACTACCGGGATGCAGGAACATAAGCTGATCCTGCGACTTTTCTTGGCAGGTCCAGCCCAATGGAGGCAATAGATATCATGATATTCCAGCTTGACATAATCAATCCAATTCTTGTTACTTCTTTGGCAAAAGCAGATATTCATAGATTGTCTTTCATCCATCCTTTCCTCTATTCACAGTTTACTATTAAATTTCATTAGACAATATCCACAAACGTTCTGATTCCCAGAAGGAGTATTCAATGAAGGAGAATGCTTCAGCTGAACTCCCTCCCTGGGGTTTGCCTAATAACCATGTAGGGCCTAGTATAATTACTCTTGGGAGACACAAAAGGTGGCTATTTCTATGTCTCTATTAATGGGGTCAAAAGAAGTGAAGGTCAGGTTTGTATTTTTAAGCAACTATAATAAATTGAGGCAGATCCAAGAGGCAATGCCATTACAAACACGGATAAGAATGCATTGAAAAGAATTCACTTCTGTGGTATCCTGCAAGTGTCCTAATGATCATGGAGAACTTTATGCACTAAGAGAAATCTTGGTTCGGAGACCTAGACCTTTTTGTGTTAGTACATTTCTCCCCAGAGGTAGGCAAGGTACTTTCAAAGGAAATCCATTCTTTGAAGCCAGTTAGAAAATTATTGCTGCAGGGTACTAAAAAGCACCTCTAGCAGCTTGACAGAGATAATGTGCAACTGCACTATGCTCATTATGCCAAGATGTAATTTACCGTTTCCGCACACACTCTTTCCCTCTGTGTGCCCCCGGGGTCATGAGAGTTGGGAATCACCAACCGAGTTTCTCTCTGAATGTTTACAATGTTACAACAATAAACGGTAGCCTATTAGATCACAGTGGGCATAAATTGTACCTGGATACCCTTCTCAAAAATTATAAACAGCCATTCACCAACAGTTTTCAAGGATCTGCAGTAGGATTATTGAAAAGTTAAATCAGTCACTTCCCCCTATCATAAAAGAAATGTTCAAAATGTTATCTTTATTTAGTATACAAAAACAAATATATTTACTAATGTATTTATTCCCTCTGTAAATTTTTTTAATGCAGCAGGCTTCAATGACCAAAAAGGAAAGGTAGGTGAGACTCACCAAAATCTTTCCTACTTCATGACACCAGGAAGTAGCTTTAGCTCTGGTTAAGATCTAACATAGTTTATTTTACTGAAGTTCATTACTCTAAGTCTTGTTAACACTAAAGTAGAGATTATCACTAATGTCATCTTAGTTTACCAATGAAATGAAGTCAAATACAAAGTTGTTTGTGCCTACATTTCTGTACAAACTTGCGAGTACACACTAGGTTTCTCTTCAAGCAGGGGAACTTTGGGGTTGTGGAGGAGAAAGAGGCAGATGTTACCGCTTGTCTCCTTTGTTACTCCAGTCTGTTCAGATTCCCATGAGAACAAGAATCCTTCTCATTAAACAATCAAACGCTACCATTATTCGTGCAATAGAACATAGAACCTATTTCATCACCTTCCCATAAATGATTTCAATCTTTCAAATACCTGGGACCAATTCAGTTAAAAAGGGCACAAATAAAAGGGCCTAATGAAGGTAAGAAAATTTAATCCATAATACCTACATTATGACATTTAAGGAGCTATTTACAGCCTAATAAAAATTTTTCATAAGATCCGTGATTCCTTTTGAAAGACTTTGGACTTGATTTATCCCGGACTTTTATGCTATAGAAATTCAAATCAGAGAGCAAAGAGCTAGGTGTAGAATGGGGCAGGTGTTCACCATTCTTGCACTGCACATTTTCTGGCCTTGGCTGCCTTGACTTGGGTTTAATGATGCCTAGCTAAGAGCCCCTGGTATTTGAAAAACCTTTCCCATAAGAGAGTCTGGATGAGAGACTGTCATTTTGAATTCTATTCTACATCTCTGTAATTTATTTCTTACAATTATTCAAGGAGAATATGTTTATTAGGTAAGTGGTTTCCGTTCGCATAATCAAAAGTTGGTGAAAAATTGCAGGTATGAGTTCCCCACAAATTAAGTGATAAGACATCTGGAGCCAATTCTTTGAGTGATCTTAAAAGGAAAGAGTTGAAAACAGATTTTATGGCTATAAGTAAAGACAGCATGTTATTATGGCTTATGGCTGAAAGCTGAATGGGTTGCTCCCTTTTTAAAGATGTAGGAGGAGTTGTGTCCAAATTTCTTCTTTCACCTCAAGCTGAAGACTTAGCCCTAGCATTTTTTTTCCCATAGGTATTCTAACTAAACTATTCAAAGAATGCCTTAGCATCAAAATAGTGGATCCTGGACAAATGATTCAAAGAGAGACTGGGATTTCCAGCAAACCCCACTCCTAGGAAACCTTCATTCTTAACCTAATATGTCCACACACAAGGGAATAGTCAAGAAATAGCCTATGTTACAAATGAAAAAATGAAGCTTATGCAGAAAGAGAGGGAATGATTCTCAGTCTAATAATTCATAGCATAGAGGGTACGATCTCTTGATTTTTCAGTTTTAGAAGGAGTGGAATGTTGTTCATGAAAAATAAATGCAATGCTCCCAAAACATTTCACAATGTAGGTTCACTCTGGCTTTGCACTGCTGTTGCCTTTAGAACCTGTTCCTTCTGGCCAAACCATATTCTATAACTGTGTATAGCATTTCCCATGTAACACTGAACAGAATCTTGGTTTAGTTTTTACCAAAAGTAGTAATTTATTTAAGGTAAAAAAAATATGAAAACAAATTCATGATCAAAAACTCATAAACACACTAGCAGTATGCTTTATTCCACTGCATTATAATCAGCAAGGCCAGAATCAACTTTATGAAGTTTAGGACAAAAACAAATTAACTGAGAAAAGGAAGAAAATGGAAATCATTTGTAATGCAGAAAGTCACAGTGAGACCCTGTCTCAAAAAACCCCCCAAAAAACAAACAAAAAGAACCTAACCCCTCCCCCAAAAGAATATGTAATGGAGATAGCATGGTGGAGAGGAAAAGGTATAGCAATAATTTGTAAATTATTGAAAACAAGATAATAGTACTCTTTAAATACACTGAAGTGTTTTTCAGGGTATAAGACTATATTAACAACCACTATTTCAATTTTTAGGTATGTTTCTAACAAGCTTACAATAATTGTACATTTTATGGAAAAATGTAATGGTAATGATACTCTTACCATCTGTTTTCTTTGCATCATTTCCGACATTAGAGTGATCCTTCTTGTCTGCCTGATTTTTACCATCTTTCAAATCACCTGGAAGAAAGAAATATGACAAGCAGTATACGTATACAGCTGAGGGGTATGTTATAAATATCTTTCAACCTGTCAAGGTTTAAAAAAATGCAGCATAGTTTATAGTCATGAGGAAGTACGTGTCTGAGTGTAAATATCTTTTGTAACCACATGTTAAATTCTGGAAATTGGAAAATAAAAAATTAAGACTGAAAGTTCCTGCCAGGCAGACTTGTACTTAAGTCAGTGGTGTTTATCTTCCAAGAAAGGCAACTGAGTTCAATTATTAGGCTATGGAATGAGAAAAACTCTGGGTTAAATGTGAGTTCCACCAATGTATAGCTATTTAACATCCCTATGCTTCAGTCTTATCTGCAAAATGGGGATCACAGCACCTGACTTATAGGCATAATGATAAATGTATTTAAAGTATGTAAATACTGAATGCATCTTCTGGTGTATTCCTCAGTACCAGTTGTTTTTATTCTAAACCAGAGCTAAAATGGTAAGCTTGTTACCAGGGAATAGATATTTATGGGCATTTTAGAAATATGTTAAAATAAAATTAAATTAGAAAACTTTACATCACACAGGCAATAAAACCATATCCTTTGGAGTTATCTTCTCTCATCAAAAACATCTAAGGTAATGTATAACTTCACAGTTACATGGATCAAAGAGTAAATAGCAAAGTTAAACCCAGCCATACTCTCCAAAAACAGAATCAGCAAAATATGGCTCATGAGCCACATAGTAGAGTTAAAAAAAAAGTTCTCTTGGCATGCAGCAATGCCCACCATTTACACACCATCGTGGCTGCTTTCATGCCACAATAACAAAGTTGGATAGCTACAATACAGACATGCAGGCCATAAATATTTTCTATCTGGTCTTTTATTAAAAAAAAGGACAGTAAAGAAAAATAAAAAGTGCTAGCCTTTGTGTAGGACAGGATAATTTAATAATCCTTGGGCAGGTCTACTCAATAACAGGCCAGTGAAACATTAAAAGGTCATGTATGCCTTCCTCCAGCTTTATTTTGGAGTTTTGAATATTTTTCTTATCATTCTAGCTAATGGCAGTTTTCTTTTTAGCCAGGATAAAGCCAAGAATACACTATTACCCAAATACTCTGTATTTGCTGAGGCAAAAAAGAGTTTAATAATTGCAGTGAGCAGAGCCTCAAAGAAGTGTGTATGAGAAAAGGAATTCATCTTTTTTTAAACTTTGTGCCAGCCAATGTGCTAAATGCTTTGACTGCATCATTTCATTGCATTCTTATAACAATCTCATTATAAAGACAGTATTGAGCCAAGCGTGGTGGTGTACATCTATAATCCTAGCACTTGGGAGGCTGACGCCAGAGGATTACAGTGAGCTCGAAGCTGGATTGGGCTACATAGTGAGTTCAAGGCCAGCCTGAAGTACATGGCGAGATGCTGTCTCAAAAAAACAAAAATAAAAACAAAACAACATCAACAGCAACAACAAACAAAATAAGAAGACACGTTATGGAAAATAGAAAAACTCATAAAAGATTTCTTTACTAAATGATCAATTTATTGAATAATCAACTAACCAAAGGATTAAGGATTTTTTCAATTTTGAGTTTTTCCTCCTTGCAAGCATATAGGCAAACAAAACACTGGTCAGTCTATCTAGGTCAACTCCACCACCACAGGCTTCAAACACCCTGGCCGCATTTCTGAGTTCAACCTAGCATCTGGATCTCCCCCTGGTGGTAAAAATGTTTCTGCCAACTACTGTAGATTTGGTTTAAACCACTTGTCTGATACCATTTTGGTTTTCTTTTTGAAAATGCACTAGCAATTTTTTTCCAAAAAGAAAGGTGTTTTAGTGAATAGCAGCTGCAATAAAACAAACTTCTCATTAGCAATAAAACTAATGCACCTCCAAAATGTCTAAGGATTGGGCAGTTGACAACAGGACCAATGACAGTTATCATCTGTATGGCTTTTGCCATACAGTTTCACCCACTTTATATAAATTATTTCATGCATCTTCACAAAACTAAATGTAAAAGTCACAATAATCACTATAATTTTCAGATAACAAAAATATCTTTTTTATGTCCTTTCCAAATCTAAAAAGTGGTAAAGTACTTAGAACCATAAATTTCAGGAATTTTTGTTTGTTCCCAATTTTTTTTTTGTTGAAAATTAAGTCATTTAAAAAATTTTATTTTTATTAATACATATTTGGAGTACATAATGATTATGTTTATTATGGGGAACTGATAACATGTATATAACACATCTCAATTCTTTTTTCCCCTTTCCATCCACCCCCATTTTTTAAAGTTTCTTTTTTGCCAGCATCAGATGCATTTATTTATTTTATAAGTACTTATCAAGTTAATTATCATAAATACAGATTAATATCCTTTTAGAACAAATGGTCAATTAATCTTATAAATTTTGCTTATTTGTAGGGAAATGTCCTGAAATACATTATCATCCCCATCTTATAGACTATGAATTCAAGGCATAAAGGAGGACTACAGAGCAAACAAATGGGTCTGATTCTAGAATCCAAGCTCTCCATTTATAGTTTCCCATTGAAGTTCAAGTTTTAGATTTCAGGTTCCCACTTACTATTTTCATTTTTAATTACTTTGGCCTATAGATCTATGAAAAAGTGGTTATCTAAGGATAATTCAAGGCCACTGTTGGTTGTGATATATTCCACAAACCTTGTACAAATTCTAAGTCAGATTAGAAGTTAATAAATTCCATTTCCTGTCATTCTTAATCCTAAAATAGGATGAACTAGCTGCACGCATTGAAAAAGAGGTATCTACCTTGGCCAGTATCAAAACAGGTTGGATTTAAGTAGAGGACATGATCATCTCCCTCTACCAGTATTAGTAACCAAAAGAGAAGGTTCCTTTGGAAGTTCCATGAAATAGTCCAAATGCTGGCTTTTTCCTGTTTAGAGAAGGTACAGATGAACTCAAGGACCTCAAGCCTTTTTGTCAAATTAATTCCCTGCAGAAAAGTGATCCTGCTTCCCTACATGAATGTTCACATACATAATACTCTGTTTTCTGCTTTCTGGGTAGTTCTGACTTGGAGCATTAACCACAACTGCAGCAAAGGCAGAATATCTTTGAGAAACCAGCATTTCAATGGTGTGATGTGCTGGGTGCTGGTGAGCAGCCCATGCAGCCTGTCTTCTCAGCTAGGACTGGGGAGGCTGAGGGAACAAGTTGCCTTGATGGAAAACGAAGTTTAGAAGATCCTGTAACTACCAAGAGGGGACCAAACCTCTACAACCTCTGCAATCAATGTCCTTCAGCCCTAACCTGGAAAATGCCTCGGGCAGCCCATGAAGAAGGGTTCTGGGAAAGTGATACATACTTGCTTGATGATGCTTCCTGAACAGAAATCATTAGCTAATTTCCCATGGGTTGTACTTGGAGTAATGGCTGCTACTCAATAGAAAGGGGGAAACCAGAGAGCCTTTCTGGGCAGTTATAAATAATTTTAATTAGGCTGCTGTAACAAAGTCCCCAACCACCATTAGCCTCTCTTATTATTGCTCTAAATTGATTTCTTTTCCCACCTCTCATTAAGTACTTAATTTTTAAGGGAAAGGGTAGACTGCTGCTTACTTGGGGAAATAAACAGAATTCTGAAATCAAGTCAGACTAGCTGTAGACTCTGGCTCTTGTTTTCTCTTTCTAGCTCTCCCCACAGTCATCAACAAATCAAATTACTCTCACCTTCTCTCGGTCTTTGTAGAATTTATAACCTTCCTCGTGACTGGCTTATTTATGTTCATTGTTTCTCTCACTGATGCCACGCCTTGTCCCACTACCTGGTTATGTACAACCCACAAACTGAGAATGGCCTTTACACATTTACAAGGTTGAAAAGATGAATATTTTGTGACATTCCTTAAGTAAAGTTTTACTAGAATACAGCCTTGCTCTCTTGTTCATGTATCATGTTTGGTTTCTTTTACCCGGATGGCAATTTTGAGTTGTTGTGACACAGATGATCTGGTTCAAAAAGCCTAAAATGTTTACAATCTGGCCCATTCTAAAAAAAGTATGCCAGCCTATGGAATAGGAAGATTACAAACTTCTTTTGGACAGCAGTTAGGTGTCCTCTTTCTCCAGTAGCCACCCTCCAAAGGCAACAAACCTGGAAAATATTAAGGATATGCTGTTAACAGACTCTAAGGTGGGGACTCACATAAAACTGAGTTTGACCTGAGATCTCTGGCTAATGGGTGGTTGACCTTAAGTAAGTGATTCATCCTCTCTAGGCCTCTATGTTCCTGTCTACAAGATGGGAATATGTATTCTTACCTTATAGAGTTGTTAGGATTTTAATATGAGGTTAAAAATCTCAAATATAACATCTGGCTCATTAAGAGAAAGGACATTTCTAGATCATTGTGCTAAACAAAACAAATGAGGGAAGAAACAAACTTCCTTTCTCCTTCTGGGTCTCTCCTTTGAAAAGACTGATATATGTAGTAGCAGAAGCTTAGTATCCAAAGCTCAACTTAGCCACCTATTTCCTATTCGCCTTCCAGGTATGTTCCCTAGAAGACACAAACCCTTGCTGTCACTGCTGAGTGAGGTAAGGCTTTGCACCTGCCTGACTCTGCTTAGCTCACGTCCATGAGCCAAGAAGAGATGGGCTCAGGAGAACTGTCCATGTCCCCAAGTCTCCCTGGTCATTGGCTTTCTGATTTTGGCACCATCTATGTCTCAGTTGGTTTATAGCTCAGGAAGGGAAGAAAGGGATGGTTGTGTGACCCTCTAAATCTTCAACAGGGGACCATTTGAGTATTTTTTGCTAGACTATGGCACTTTCTAAAGTTTCTTTTCTTTTTTTTTAACTAGTTAATGATTACATCCATGGTGGGGAGTTGGTGCATGTACATAACACTTCTTAATTCTTTTTATTTCCCTTTCTTCCCTTCCTCCCCCATTGTTCTATCTCTAGATACTCTTTCCATTTGCCAAAGGTCAATCTCCTTCTTTTCTATTATCTGTCATTTTGCTTTTTTAATTATTTATACTTTGGATTTCTCACATAAGAGGACCCATATGATAATTGAAGCTTGTGGGTCAGATTTATTTCACTTAACATTATGGTCTCAACCCATGTGAATACAGAGCAAACTAGTTAAGAGATTCTGGAACCAGGTTTGTGTGGGGCTGGACTAACTGGGGCAAGTGCCATCTCTGCCTGTTAGAGTGGTCGAGAGGGTTAACTAAGGCTAGTTATGCAAAGTTCTTGGAATGTGATGTGAACAATCATCACTATTGTATTAAATATTATTTTCTGATTATATATTGCATATGTGTTAATAGTGGAAATACTTGGAGAATGCTATGCTAAGAACTTTCTACCTATTATTCATTGACCCAGCTCATTGCATGAGCCACAGGAAATCATCTGGCCCTACCAGGGAGGTAAGAGAATGAGTATGAGAAGACAGAGCTTAAAACACTATCTAGTATATAGTAATAAGTGCTATTTGTTTTTATTGTCTTTGTTGTTTTGTTACATGATTATAATTGAAAGCTCAGAAGAAGTCAGTGCTGTGAGTAGATACTGTGTGTATTTTATGAAAACAGAACATTAAATCATTAAATAACCCGGCCAAGGCCACCAAAGGGAGGCACAGCTATGATTTATATCTGCAAAGCTACCCTGCTACTTGTCCCCAACCTGACACTTGCAAGCTGTGGAGACTCTCAACTTCTTTCCCATCCCTAAAAAAGGGAACCAATTCCACGCCCTTGTGCTCACCTTGTTCTCTCTGGCTGAGAAGCTTCTGTCTCCCATTTGACCAGGAACTTGAACATTTAAAACCCAGCCCAGATCCCACCTCCTCTAGAAGCCTTTTCTGAAATTTACCCCATCTCATAAACCCCAGTACTGGCAGAACTCAGCTTCCTTCTTTGTTCATGATTTCTGGCTATTTTATCTGCCATATTACTACTGTTACTTCCCCATATTTCACTAGAATTGTTTATGAAGATGCCTATATCTCCTCAGATATCATGGGCTTCCCAGGGCCTTTCCATTTCTAAATCCCCTGTGCTTAGTACAGTGCTTGACCTAACACATTAATTAATAAATTTTTTTCATTAAATATAAGAAATCAACAATTATCTCTCTCTGTACAACAGTGGCCAGCTTACTCAAGTTTGCCTGTAACTTTTGGTTTTAGTACCAAAAACCTTGAGTCCCAGGAAACCCTCAGTTCCAGGCAAACTGGAAGGGCTGGTCACCCTAGAGTGTGTACTTAGGCACACATAGATATGTGGATGCAGAGTGTAGGAATGAGTTGCAGTCAGACATGAGGCCTGGCCATGCTACACGGATGGTGCATTTGGGAAACTGGCTTTCCATTCATCCATTTTGGCAGTGAGCTCTCAGAGCCGTGCTAATGTTGTTAATAGTAATTTGCACCAGATGAGCAGGCGGACACTGGCTGGAACCTCCAGGGAAGCTCAGAAAGCCCAGAAAGGTGTAAACGGCCCCCCCATGCCCCCAAGAGAAGGCACAAGTGAGATGGCAGCTGTTTTTGATGGAATCCTCTGGCATCCCTGCCAGTAAGGGGAACAGAAAGGCTTAGATGCTCAGGGGAGTCTGGTCCTGCAAGTGGCTGGCGTGTGGAAGGTATCTGCCGATTTCCACTCATCACATCATTAACACCCCAGAAGAGTTTTTCACCAGCCAGCAAAATGCTACTCACCATTCTGCTGCTTTTCTCCTGGCCACTTCTCAGCTTTGGGGTTCTTCGCACGAGAGTTGTCGCTTTTGTTTGTGCGTGTTCCATTGACTTGATTCTTACTTTCTCCAGATGTCTTCTCAGTTTTGCCAGCTGCACCTTCTTCAGCCTGGCCTTTGGCTTCCATTTCCTTCTGCTTCTCCTCTGCGGCCAGGCGAGCCTTTTCCTCTGCTTCCTTCTTGGCCTTCTCCTCTGCATCCACGGCAAGTTAGGGAAGGCAGAGAAAAGAGAAAAAGAGGTCATGCCATTATGAGAATTGCCTCTTTGGGTGGGGGGGACCAAAACATGATTTGCACTGGGAATTAATATACTACAGTCATATAAGATGTTCACTGAGAGTTTTGGGTATTTTGTGGTTAATTCAAATCAGATTGACAAGTATCATAAAGTAGGTTCATAAAAATGTCATTTCTGCAAATAATGAATTAGAGGAAGAGGCAGGGAGAAAAAACAAGGATAATGATTAATGAGCTAGTATTGGAATAGGAACTATAATAATAACTTCTATTTTGTCATCTATGCCAGTAGTTTGCTCAGTGCTTTTTGAGAGTTATTTTCATCCTTACGACAAAGTTTTGTAGCTATTATTCTGGTGGTCCTATTTTATACATATGAAAGTTGAGGCTCAGAGACACAAAACTATCCCAGCCACAGTAAAAATTGGCATATCTGGTATGATTGCTTAGGTCCTACAGTTTAAACATAAAAACTTGGTTACAAAGCAAAAAGTCAGAAAAAATAATTATCACTAGGGTAATACATAATGAATCTACTGTGAATTGAAATGGACCAGGGTAATTAAGCTTTACCAGCCAACAAACAAGCAAACAAACAAACAAAGTCTTCAGTTGTCCACTCATTTGGCAGGTATGTGGTCTCTGTCCTTTCCTTTAATGGGAGGCTAACAGCATTATTTCCAATTCAGCTGATTACAGAACGGCTTGGCTCTGTGATTAATCTAAAGCACATCATAACTGCATAGGTCAAATACATACGAAAAGATTGGTTCATTCATTTATTGCATATTTATTGAGTATCTATAATGTGAAGCACTATTTTAGGTGGTAGAAACACAACAGTGGACAAGACAGTCATGGAGAAGACCATTCTTTTTTGAGAAGACCATTCTTAAATAAGCAAATGACTACAATAGGTTCAAATGGTGAGAAGTGCTTCGTCAAAATTTAAAGCACAGTGATATGGCAGAACATGATCAGCACTGGGGAGGAAGGTGGCAAAAAAAAACAACAAAAAAAAACAGATGAAAAGCTGACTGTACAGTAATCTGGAGAAATTACCTTTCAGGCTGAAGAACAAGAAAATGCAAACACCATGAGATAGGAAAGCACGTGGTTTGTTCAAATGACAATGAGTTGCCACTGTGGCTAAAGTAGATTTGGCAAGGAAGGGGTTAGTAGTAGATGATATGGTCAAATGACAAAGGACAGACAGGGCTCAGATCATGCAGGGGCTGGGAGACAATCTGATGGAGTTGGGTAGAAGAGAATGACACACATAAAAGGCCCTAAGCAGAGACTAATCAATTGTATGGTCCAGAGACTCACTGGACATAGCATTCAGTTCACTCAAAAGGTCTCTTGGACTGTGCTATCAGCCTCCACTGTGATAGCAAGATTGCATTTTTCTCACAGATGTGAAGACTGGCCCCACCTCATTATCTGGAACCCACTTTATTTCCCTGTGGTAATTTTGCCTTCAAAAACTGCTGTCACAGACAGTATGTATGCATGAACACCAGAATGGTTAGCATCTGATCATGTTTCCTTTTGCTTCATCTGCTAAAGGACTCAAAATCCTAATTTGGTCCAAGTTCATGAGTTTATGAGTCTTTATGACATGTACATTGTGGATGTCCGTGACACCTGGCTCTATTTCACTTGTCCTGCTGCTATATTAGATTATTTCAAATGTCTTAATATATTATACCACACATTTTCATTCATCATCTTATTGATCCTTCATTCCAGGAGCTATCCATTCCCCACCCAGCTATTCATTCATCCAAAACAACTGACCTGGCCTCACAAACTAAATCAGATTCTGAAGGGAGAAGGGCAAGGGTAGAACATTTTCAAATTTTTTTAAGGATTCTAATGTGCAATAAGGGTTGAGAAAGACTGATTTAAAGTTTAAATGCTTACCATTCAGTATTTCATGACATTCTACTTTGCAACAAGAGGCATTTATAATTTACACTGAAAGGGTAAGGACAGATTTATTTATAAATAATATAATTAGGCGCCAGTAGAGCATAATATATCTTCTGATTTTTACAGAGAATTACAACTAAAAAGTGAAAGGAGGCTCTTGCAGAAGAAGATGGAGAGACAAATTCTCATCAGACCACAGGACCACAGAAGACCCGCATGACATCCCCAAGTTTCCTCTCATCCTTCTGCAGTGCTCCAACGATGGGGGTCAAATACCTCCGTCACTGTGGCACAGTACTTGGCACACAACATACACTCATAAAGTATTTTCTGACGCAGTGAGATGTAGCCCAATGGTGTGATTTATTGACCATGAAAATTCAACCACATGTACATATTCCACTTTAAGCAATATAGACTGGCATAATAAAATACAGAAAATATACAAATTCTCAGATCTTACCCTGAAAGAGCCACTTGGCAAACATTCACCTCTTTAAATACTAATGTAAGTGAGTGAAGTGATGATTGTTCTTACTACACAGGGAAGAAAACTGAGATAAGGAAGAGGAGAATTCATCCACACTCAGAATCAATGGAAATATTTCACTAACCCTGTCATGGAATCTCTAGTGAATTCATGGCAAACATTCAACATTCAAATTATTCCCAAGTTGAATTTTGATAAAAACTGAAGGTGTTAAGTTCTGGTTTGCTACAAAAGACCATAAAATAGTATCTGAGCCAGAAAATTGCATTTGACAACTGAGTCAGAACAATTTTCCATGGGAAATCTAGCGGAGAAAAAAACAACAACTAGAAAAACATACATTTCAGAAATAAATCTGGTTTTGCTCAAGTACAGCTGACAGCAGGCAATTAACATTTAAATTAGTGAACTAACAAATGGGAGCTCTGATGACATCATGATCAGATCATACATGATGAGCCTGCCCCATTGGGTGATTCCTCTCCCTGTAACAGTCACCTTCTAGGCACTGGTTCAGCTATGCTCTTCAGGTTCTCTACTTGACATCTACCGCTGGCTCAGGTCTGAGAGAACTGATAGGGCAATCAGCCCTACAGTATCCCAAGGGATATTACTCAAAATGAAGAGACAAAAACAAGCAAACATGCAGATGAGAAAAAAGAAAAAACATCAGTAGGAGGTAGGTTTTTTCCCATTGCAATCAGTTTCCCTTATATTTTCAAGGTAAAATGATTAGTATAGATAAAATTGTCATACGATGAGAAAAACTACATGAAAAGACTGTTAAAGTATACACACCACTAGGTTCCAACATTGGCCTGGGATTTTCTTTCCGGGTTTAAGAGTTAGTATCCTTGGCATACCTGCCTAGGAGTCTTAGACTTGTGGAATACAAATTTCCTAGTTTGTTTCCTTTTTCTTCTCAGCTCAAATGATCGCCACTGATACAAATCATTATGAAAATGGTCAGTGGTAAACAGCTAAAGAGGGTGGAACAGAGCCCTTATTGTAGATAGGGAAGTTAATTAGATATCTTGTAGGCAGTTAGGCCCTCCAGGAGCCAACATGGAGGACAATCAAGACTTAGTCACTGAAGGCCAGCACTGTAGAAGAAGAGAAACTATCACACCCATGTGCTTCCCCTAAGGATGGATAGAAGTGATTGATATTCTAAATAGGTATCAATCACCTGGGTGGGGGACAAAGATCTTCCAGGAAAGATCCCTGACTCACCCCTTACCAAAAATCCTTGGCCATTCCTTGTATGCTTGCTAGGTGACTTGCTTCCCCATTTGATCCCCATTTGATCAATATCACCTAAGTGACTATACTTGCTGTAATCTTAGTGGTTGATCATAGTTTTGTTCCACCTTGTGATTTCCCATTGGATCAATATTACCTAAGTGACTGTACTTGTAATCTTACTAGTTGACTATAGTTTTGTCCCACCTTGAACCCACCTCACCTCTTGACTTTGCTCTATAACCCCCCCCCACCCCGTGAGAGGCAGGGTGGGCAGGCAACCCATTTTCCGGTCCTGTGGTCCTGCTTCTGTTTCTCTTAGACAGAAACTATCTTTCTCTCAAATTTTTCCTACTCTTAACCTCCATTGTTTCTAAAATTCATTCTTCAATTTTAGAGAACACAAACTTGTGCTTCAGGTATCTAGCACGTTTGGGAGTTACATCTACTGTCCCTATACCACCCTCATACTCTATGAATTGCATACCTCAAAACAGATAGCTGCTTCCAGACGTCTGCACAATCTCAAAGAAATACTCTTTATAATGATACTATAACCTATTTAGTTTTGACATTCTTTTGGACTGTTATTCCTTGATATAATTTTCTGAAATACCTACTTTTTCTGAAATACACTACCTTCAAAGAGGAGAGAAACAGACAAAAAGAGACAAGAGCCTGATGGAAGAAAACAACCAAAATACTATGTATGATATCTTAACTTTATTTGGTATAATAACAATAAAAAGACACCTTAAGGCATATTTAAGAACTCAAGAAGTGTTCCTAGAGTTACTTGCTGAAAATTCTGGTCTAAGAAGTACTCTAGCTGGCAGAAAATTTCAATCAATATTAAAACTCAAATATAAGAAACATGTTAATGATGTGCAATGAAACTAGCAAAGCTTATTGTTAAATAAAAATAATAATTTTTAGAGATTAAACTTGATATAAATATTGAAACATAACATTTAAAAATAAACTGATCATAAAATAACATTATACTTATAATCACCTGGATTAAAAATCTCATTATTATTTAATAAAAACTACTAATGGAGGAAGTGAATAAAAGCTGTGAATTTCTCAGCAAAATAGTATCATTATATACCATTCAATATTTAAATTTATGGAAGACTTAAATTCAATTTTTAAAACTTTCAAGTTAATTTCTCTTAGAAATAAGAGGTATTAAATTAGACCACAAGGAAAGTTATATGCCTATGACAAACGGGTAGGGTAGAAATTTCTAGATATTTTGACAACTTAAGAATTATTATCCTCAATATATAAAAACTATTATGAATCAACAATAATGTAAACCTCCTAATGGGAAAAAAAATAAAGGGGGAAATAGTAAAGAGAAATAGGCACTCTCACTATACTTCCAACTGGGAGAGAAAATTGCTTTTGAAAAAGTACCCACAGATAAATTTGACAATATCTACCAAGAGCTGTAGAAGTTTTCATCTATTTTGACAGGAATTCCACATCTAGGAATTTATTTCAGATAAATAATCTGAAGTAAACTCAAAGGCTTTTGAACGTCTATGTTCACAACAATGTTATATGTGATAATCAAATGGAAATCTAATGACTAGTAATGACTATGGTATTAGTTGAACAATGTGCATTTAAATTAGAATATTCAGTATCAAGATAAAACACTCATGACCCAAATTTCCCCAAAAGGAAAACTTTTCTTTATATGCATACTTAAGTAAATTAAGAATTTTAACAGTAATTCTAATAATGTCTAATAATAATCTTAACAATGGATGAAGAATTGTGGTCATGAATGACTTTCGTTTTCTTCTTTATATAAATATATTTCATATTTCAGCATTTGCAACCTAAATACATATTATTTTTATGCCAGAAAATAAATATTAAAAAGTACTAAACACTAAACGGAAATTGATAAGTGTAGATCAGATTTTCAAACTGTTACACATCTTTGGTTGGTAATAATGATATTTAAATTCTAAAACCTTTTAAACATTGATTTCATCTTTCTTAACTATGGATACTGGCTTAGGTAGCTTTGTAAAACTGACTGGCCAATAAAACCAAGACTTCAGATCCAAATCTATCTCCAGTCACTCTAATAATAACATGTGTTTAGATGCTTTATGGAGGGCAGGTGTTCTTGAAATCAGGGTCCTCTGGTGAAAAGAAAAAAAAAACAACTAGAAAATCAGCCTGAGATTATCTAATTAAACTAACCATCACATGAAAACATAAATGCAAACTGCATTTTTCCTTAACATTAGTCAACCAGGCCGAGGATTTAGCAGCGCCTTGCCTGCCTTGTAAATGCAAGGTCCTGAGTTCAATCCCCAGTACAAAAAAAAAGAAAAAAGAAAGAAAGAAAAATTGCCAAGGAACATTAGTCAAGGAGTCAACAGTAATATTAAGGAGAAAACATTTGCTTTCAGTTGGTAATTTTACCACGAGAATATTAACTTTGCTTTACCACTGCTAGCATTCTCTTCTAACTGTTTAAAAAAACCATTTATCAGCCATTAATCATGTGCAGGCTCTGTTCTTAGTTCTTTTCATATTATTTCTATCCTTCAAATCAACACCGTAATGTGTAATATCATCCTCAAAATGGAGCCACAAAGAACCTAGAGGAATTTACCAAAGAACATCTCACCAGTTAAGAATTCATTTCTTCCATCATCTACCACTAACAAATTTGCCTTGACAGCCAAACTATTCTTCCACAAAATACCAAAAATCCAAGCTCTGGACTTTGGCTCATCTCCTCTCTCCTTGTTTCCATTTCTGATACCTCCTTTAGGTTAACCCCAGGCATCCTCTAAGCCCAGGCTACAAGCTCTGGTGTTCTGTGTTGTTAAAATAGCTTAAGCTTATCTCTATCTGCATAACTAATAAATTTTAAAATTATGAACCCTTTACCTGTCCTTTTTAAAGGGCCAGTTTTCCGTAGGAAAGCAGCCACCTAATGTTTCTCCTGGTGATTGGTTTCAGAAGGCAATTTTAGTAAGCCAGATAATTGCAAACAAATTATTTTGAAGTACCTCTTTAAATTGTGTGTTGTCAGGAATCGAATTTTCAAGTGTAATGAATGTAATTAATTATGAGAGAGTGCTTCTTTTGAAATGATGCAGTAGCTGCCATCACTGCTTGCAAAGCCTGCCAACAGGAAGGATTTAAATGCTTAAAAGCATTTGAATGGGAGTACACTTAAAATATGGAAGAGGTGTTGGCTACCTTCATATCTCAGGTTGTAACATCTGTACCAAAATGATTAGGTCCAATTATGTCCTAAAAAATCAGGAATGTAAACTTCTGCTTCAGCTAAAATGAGGAGCCACTTGGACAGGATTTTGTGGGCAAGTCACAGTGCTCGCCTTTGAATATCTGCGACTGTGAAACTGCTTCTCTCCTGCACTAGAAGCAGACCCTCCAACTCTGATATCTGGGGGACCAAGACTGCTATGATTGGAATGTGCCCCCTAAATTTCACATTTGGAAAGTTAACCCCCAAATTTATATGCCCACTGGAGAGTGGAACTTTCCCGGAGGCATTAATGGCTTTCTAGGAAGCAAACACACATTGCTTGGCTCCCTT